TTTGGAATTTTGGACAAGCTGAACCCTTTCTATAATGAATACTTGTAATATATAGCTAGATGAAAAAGGAAGTTACTCAATGCAAACATTTGGATGTACTTGATGACAATTTTATTTTCCATAATTGTTCAGGTTTTTTGGTGTGGGAACCCTTAGAAAGCAACATATTGTCGGGTGGAAAGCCTGGTAAGATACTTAGAACTTTTTATAAACCTTTTAGTTCCAGAATAATGTCAGCGGCATCTTGTCCTCTTTTTGCCGTTTGGAAGTGCAGGCCCTCATAAAATTCAGGGGATTGGAGCAGGTTTTATACCAAGGAATTTGGATCAAGATGTGGTTGATGAAGTCATAGAGGTCTGATTCTTTTATTTTGATAAATTCATTATCATTGGTCTTTGTTGTGTATTACTTTAAAATGTGGTTGGAATGGTGCATGCCCCACTAACATACACTGCAATTGACCTGAGATTTAATTGATCAGTTGTGTGATGTCCCCTCACCAGAGGAGTACTACTACTTACGATTGATCCCTACCCCTGCTATTATGGCTGTCCTGATGTAAGGTTTTTTTCTTTGTTTCTTGCACGACCTGTTGGTTAATTTGTTAACAAATAGTTTGTGAAGATATGGGTTATTAGGGCCGTAAAAATGTTTCAGTTATAATGCAAAAATTTTTCTAGTGCTAATGACACAGCTTGTTTGTTATTCACTTTTACTATATAACAACTCTAACATGCCTTAGTCAATACTGTTGTCATAAATGGCATTCATTGCAGTTCTCTTTGAAAGCCATTACCAATGCTGATCCCAGTAATACAGGGTGTTGAGCGGACTGACTGGGCATAGACTTATATCTGGCCTTATTTTCATGAAGCGCCACCTTCAGCTTGATCTGGCATTCTCACACTTAACATGTGTGGGCTTTTATTTAAACATGAACTGCAGCATAAATCATCCATATGATTAGCATCTTCCTATTTCTTTGTAAATGCAAAGATGAGTTACACAATGTTGTTGTGACCCATTGGCAGTGTTAGCCCATAAGCCTTGCCATTTACAACATTATAGCTTTGTAATAGACCTTTTAAACCTCGCTATAGGCGGGATCTTGTGCATTGAGTACTCCCACTTATAGCTTTTTAATAGACAATCTCCATTTGTCTCTCCACTTAGAACTTTATTGCTGAAGGAGCATCATTGTCATTGTTTGAATGCCCAATACTCTCAAGTCACTGAGTGAGGTTTTTGAAGTTGTCCTAGTGCGTAGAATCCAATTTTGTGCTTTACAAATATGATGCTCTTTCACATAAGTTTTGGTGTGCTGTTACTTCTGGGGAACAACTGCCACCTTTTCAGCGGGAATAATGTATGTAATCATGTACTTGTAACTGGAAATCTATTTAGCCCAATGACGACTTCTTTGAAATGGTTTTTGTCTGGTTGCCCTTTAGTTCAAGGGCCCACATGCACATGCAATGAAATGAAATGCATATTATTTTGGTCACGCGGTTGTTGAGATGCTGTTCTGCATTTGCTGGACGTATGGTGCAAAGACATCTCATTCTGTTTAAAATATCTTATTGGGCCTACCGGGCGATTGTGTTTTTTTCTCCTCAGATATCTAGTGATGAAGCTGTTGAAACTGCAAAGCAATTAGCACTTCAAGAAGGGTTGTTGGTTAGTGCTCATTGTTAGTTTCTAATATCATTCCAGCATTGTAGGCGAAGTCAAAGTTGAACCAGAGATTGAGATGCTTTCATTTCATTTATATTCTTGTCTCCTATTTCCCTATTGGTGTCTAGATGACAACTTTTCTATGTACTTACTTAGAAATGACTATATTTTTTAGGGGACTATGAAATGACTTAAAAAGGAAAAATAGATAAGTATGCTAATTCCTGTGTACATACACACACCCTTAAAAGCAGGATGGAGGTTTAGGCTAATTATAGGAATTGAGCAGAAAACTAAGCAGATCTGTCAAATGAATTAATTCTTCTTGTTAAACGATATGAGACATCCTTTTTCTGTTTTTTTTCTTCTGTAAGCAGCTGAAAATATACATTTGTCAATCTTGTATATTTTAATTAGAAAAGCTACAAAAATAGTTATTTTTCTCAATGTCATGAACAAGATCTAATAATAAGATTAGTTGATGGAACAAGAGGGAGTAGGTTTGAGGATTGAAAAGAAGAGTCACAATAGGTATTTCAAACCAGAAGAGTTCTTTATCTTCATCTTTTTTACCAAGTGTTTTTAATTTAGAATTTTCTTGATTCCTATTCCGATAAGACGAAACTTGTTCTTGTTTGTACCCATCCACAGCATACTGCATATGTTCAGTGCTTACTCTGTTTACTTGTGAATGAGCACTTGTCATGGACCGTGGTATACATTTCGAATCAATGCAGGCAGTAGATTTTGCAGTTGCTTATGGGTCTTGATTTAGTTTTGCTTTGTAGGAATTAGGGGTATAGTGTTCCACAACTAGAAGTTTTTTTCTTTTTATTTATTTTTTTTAAAAAACAATTTTTATACACTCACATGAATTTAAATGTTTGCCTAAACTATATGTTTCATTCCTTGATATCCATAAGATCCATCTTCTTTTTCGTATCAGGTGGGCATTTCTTCTGGAGCAGCAGCAGCTGCTGCCATCAAGGTTGGAAAGAGACCAGAGAATGCAGGAAAGCTTATTGCGGTATGCTTATTTTTTAAGTGTACTGTTCCATTGGTATCTTGGTATATTCAGGTCAATTCATTGTCCAGAAGTAGCCGCAGAAGTTGAAATCAAATAAACGAGTTCAACACCTTTCACTTAGAATAAATAATCTCTAAAGCAATTCTTGATTTTGTCATTCAACATTGTCAAGGGCCATGTTCTCCGTCAGGTTGTAGGCCATTGTATCTCTTCTCACCGCCTGCCTTATTCTTTTCCTTGTAGTTTTCCAAGTAAAATTTTAAATACTAACGGTACAGGTCCATCCATAGGTTGTGGCAGCTCATGGCCAAACTGTGGCAACTTTTTCCATTTTAACCTCATTCGGTTCCATGTGATCTTCTTCAAGTCCTTTCATTTCATCTTACTATTCTTGTGAAGTGATACTCTTGTTGTTCTCTCTTAGGAAGATCCCCAAGCACTTCAACACAAATCTTGAACTTAGTCGTTTGGAGTATGGCCCCGGGCGGTGTAAGCCCCTGCATAGTCAGAGAACCGTGCCCAAATTGACTAAGGGACACGTCTCCCTTGGCGGAAAATCCCAAACTGTTTTTCACGAATCTTGCACTCGGGAATGGGAACACCCTTCAGATTCGAGTAAGAAACACCCTAAATGGCTAAGTGCATTGCACAAACAAATAAAAAAAAGAGTAAGAAAAGGATTCCGGTCATGAACTGAGGGTTGTGCAGTTGGAACGGAAATCCTCAGAACCATTGACAACGCTTATGTATTGAATACCAAAATTTGTTTCTTTAAAATCCTATAAAGCGAAATTAGGGTTTTTCTTTGAGATCACTCTGGCTTGATCTCGTCTCAGCACGAACACAAAATTCAACAACGAACACGAAAGACAGCTCGACGAACCTCGTGATCTTCTGTTGTATATGCCCCAACGTCAGAGTCCAGATGCAGAGTGGCCTGCCAGAACCTCTGAATTTTTGCTCTCCCTTTCTGTCTCTCTGAAAAACGTGAGTAAATAATAGAGTTTGATTTAGAGAGCCTAGACGTCTATATATAAGCTACGACATAAACTCTAAGGAGAAATAAGGACCGGGCTTCCAATGGGCCTAGGATTGCTATGTTCAACCTAGAACAAACATCTTATAACCCATTAATAATAAGTCAGTCCACTAAAAACTTATTATTGATCTTCTAAACCTTATCTCAAAACTATATTCGAGCTCCTTATTATTGTATGCTTAGTAATCTTTCTATGTTTAAGATTACAGATGTCCATCAATTAAATAAATTACTGACAATTATATTTAATTGACTTCTTTTATTGCTTGAGACTTTATCATTCAACTTATTTGAATAATAAGACGTAATTTCTTTTAATAATTAATTTTTATCATACAAATAATATTGTCTCCCAATTCACCGAACTTGTTGATTCAATATGAATCTCTCTTTGATGAATTAAAGTGACAAATATTATATGCATGTGACAATTAAATATTTCAGAATTAAGAGCATAAACAATCATAATAATCATGAAGTATTTATTAGCTTATTGAATCTGTAAAAGATAATAACCTCAATATAAGTTTATTTAATACTCAAAGTGTACTAATGTAATAATCCGAGACATCAAATAGTCTCCTATAGTCAAGACAGACTATAACAGAATATTACACTACAATTATATGTGTCCAATTTCATCTAGGATTGTGAACTTATATTCATATTATACAAGGATCTGATAATCTAGTCTTTTGTTTATAAGCCGAACTCTACAGACTAGATTATCTACATTGTAAAACATGATACACATGCATACTATATATTAAATATAATGCAAATATTTTGCCTATATAGATTCTCAATAAAATAGAAAGAACAAACTTCTATTAATTAATAAAATAATTTTTTTATAAAAATTAAGTTTTTAGTATACTACTCTATCAATTCTCTCACTTATACTTAAAGCCATGTTGTCATACATCTAACTCCAATTCCCTTCACATGACTATCAAAAGTCTTTGTGAAGGGATCTGCCAGGTGGTTTGCTGATACAATCTTGGTGACTACTACATCACCTCTTCCCACGATATCTCATATAAGGTGATATTTACGCTCAATGTGCTTCTCCATCTTATGGGTTCATGGCTCCTTTGAGTTAGCAACCGCTCCGCTATTGTCATAATAAAGTGTAATAGCCGATTTTATTGAAGGTACCACTTCTAAATTCATTGGGAAGTTTCTAAGGCAAACTATCTCTTTGGCTGCTTTAGAAGCCGCCACGTACTTGGTCTCCATGGTGGAATCAGCAATACAAGATTGCTTGATACTTCTCTAACTTATGGCTCCACCTCCTAGAGTAAACACATATCCTGAAGTTAACTTTTTAGAATCTCTATTTGAATGAAAATTAGAGTCCGTGTACCCGATGAGTACTAGACTATTTACTTGGTAAATTAACATATAATCTCTTGTCCTTTTCAGGTACTTGAGAATATGCTTTACCGCAGTTCAATGTTCTTGCTCAGGGTTAGATTGATATCTACTAACTATGCCAATGGCAAAACAAATATCAGGTCTAGTGCAAAGCATAATATACATGAGATTTCCCACTACCGAAGTATAAGGAACTGTCTTCATGCTCTCTATCTCTTCAGGTGCCTTAGGACACTGCTCCTTTGATAGAGAAACTCTATGTCTTAAAGGAAGAAATCCTTTTTTGGAATTTTGCATGTTAAAACGGGTTAGAATGGTATCGATATAGGTAGTTTGAGACAAGCCTATCATCCTATCTTTGCGATTTTGCATAAGCTTGATCCTAAGGATGTGACTAGCCACTCCCAGATCCTTTATATTGAACTGATTGGATAACCATACTCGGTCTCTGCCTCCTTGATCAGCCTCTCCAGTGTCACCTCCCTGATCATAGTTGCCTTGGCCTCCCCCATCCTCGAACAGGTTGTTATACTCAACCACATTTCCGATGGAGACCTGGCCCCGAAGACTAGCAGGCACGGTAGGGTCTTGACTGCCTTCCCAAATGTAGGGGAAGGAAGCCTTAGAGGAGAAGGGTACTCATGCTCCTCATCATTACCATTTATCAGGATTATAGCGGGGGGAAGGGGATCTTCCCTCATAGTCTTAGACTCGTCCCCGACCCCGTCATCTTCCTTATCAGACATTGCCGACAAAATAAAGACGTGTTGGAGGAACAAATCAGAGTTAGGAGTGAGCTCAAGAGCGCATTAAGCCCAACATCCCAGAGGAACAAATCGGAGTTAGGAGCGACCCCGACATCCCATCTGTCCTTGAAGTATTAGGCCTTGGGAGTTGACGAAAACCTTCACCACATCCATCTGTAGTTTGTTAGTTTGTTGTAAGTTTCCTGATGGATCTAGGCCTCCTTGCTCTCCACATTCGCCAGGGACTTAATCATTTTCTACACTGACCTATTCGCGTGGCATAGTTCTTCTTAGCCTTGGCGGCGAGAACCTTCAACTCTACCTTAGCCATCCACCTTTCATCTTGGCCTCACCATCGTTGGTCTTTTCTAGCTCCAACGAGAGGCCATTCATCTTCCCAATCAAGTTGAAGATCTGTCATTTGATCGCCAATGACATTCTCTTTGTTTTTTCCCCATCTACTTGAAGCCTTCGGCCTTGGCATGAGCCTTCTCGTTGGCCAAGCAGTAGCGCCGAACCGGTCAACGATGACCCCCATGTATTGGGAAACCTACACACAAAAGGAAAAAAATATCAGCAAAGATGCCAAAAGAAAGAGGAAGGAAAAAACAAAGGAATATGATGGCAGAGGGCTTTAGCACTAAGACGTTTGGGGTGGCCCCCCTTAGAGCAGACCATTATCAGTTCGATCTCGATGGATGGCCATAACAATGTTAAAGAGCAAAGCCCCGCTGACTACGAAGGCGACCTTGGGAGAGCGTAACATAGAGTCTGAGTTCAAACCTGCCTTGCCCTTTTGAGCATAAGCCCTAGGGGCCCATTCGTTGCCAGAGGTGGAGGCCAGTTAGGCTAATGGCAAGATGGTTCTGATAGGGGGAATCACTTGAACTTTGGAGAGTAGGAGGGATGACTTGTTCCCAAGGGCAGATGGGAGCTTATGGCGGCTTTTGACAATCCGCTCAGTTTGGACCCCTTGATCGTCCTCCCTCCCTTGACGACTATTGGGGGGCACTTGTTGTGTTTGACTAGAGGGAGGCGGGGGTTGTTAGTGTTGGCGGTTGGCTAAGGTGGTTGCTTAAGAGGATTCGCTAGGTCTCGAGCGACTAGCTTGGAGGGAGGCATCTATGGTATTGAGGCTTTCAATGGAGATTATTGGCATGCGAGACATTTCGGAATCGGAGGAGGAATTTTTTGAAGAATTGGAGGAAGAGGTAGGTTTAGTGGCCTTTGAGTCCTCGAAATCCCGATCACTATCCTCTTCTAGATTAACCTCACCAGAAGAGTCGTCGATCCAAGCAGCCTAGTCGAAGGGGATAGGAGTCTGGCAAAAATTCCTGTGTCGGGGATGTAGTTTAGCATGACGTGGGCTGCTTGGGCGAGATTGTCCGCCCTCTGGAATTGCCAAACTGTAATCAAGTCTTGGAAGGAGACTAAGAAACACAGCGGCTTGGGAGCGTCTTCCTTTATACCCTCCTCTGCAAAACAAATAAGTGTTAATGCACATTTGGACGCCGAGCAAGACTCATTAAACTCACTAGGCGAAAGGAACCCGCATACCTGACCCCTTTAGGATCTTGGGACAGTAGAGGCCAAGGTACTTAGGTCCCTTGCCTCTCTCCCATTGGTAGCCCACCATGATGAGATCTTACGTATATCCCTTGTTGGAGTCAGACATGTGACAAGGTATATGGCAAGGTCCCGAGCTTTGAGGTAGTATTTCTTATCGGGTTTGGTCTACATCATGGCATAGCAGAAGATCTCATTTACTCCTAATTTGGTGCAAAGTTGATAATTCAAAGCAACGAACCCTATGATTATCCTAAACAAATTCACACAACACTTCTCGGGAGCTAAAAGTGCATCAAGAACCTGAGCAGGAGGGGAGGAAGAGGGAATCTAACACCCCCTCCATTATCACCTTTGTATGGAAGGGCATAAGGTTGGGGCAACCTATGGTGGCACTATGTTGTCGGCCTCGAATTTTATTAACAGTACATCGGCCGAGATGCGGTATTTGGTCCTAAAATTGGCAATCCGTTGTGCATTGTCTACTTGGGTTCCTAGGCTTAGTCTCAAAAGTCCTAGGCCAATCATTGATCCTCGGCCTATCTCGTCCAAGGGTTCTTGCCATTGGAAAGAAGAAGGGAAGATTGGAAGGAAAAAGACGGAGAACTAAATGTACTTACTAAAATTGACGCTCGGGATGTCTTCGGCGATGGGGGAATACTCAGCCTTGCCAAGTGCTTCTGATCTTCAAGGATTCAAATGGGGCCAATGAGTGGGAAAGCCCCTCCTATTTATACTTTCTTTCAAGGGCATCGGTTACCAAGAGATACGGTGCATTAAATGTGATTTTCAAAAATTGGAGGCAAACTTGCGTGTAACGGCTCCCATGAAGCAACATGCAGCAGTAGCCTCCAATCGCCCCGCGCCATGTGGCTCACACTTGGGAAACTAAAGGCTAGAGGACAGTTGATGAGACACGAAACGATAGAGTATAAAACATGAACATGAACAGTGAAACACTGATGAGGTGATCGGTCCTTTGGAGATCTAGGGGGAACGTACCCTTTTGAATCAAATGGAAGAATGCAACCTCGGGCCCTTTTGAACCAAAGGGAAGAACGCGTTTGCCCCCTTCTAACATTGTTCTGTGTTTTGTGGACATTCTAACAACACACCAAAGTGCCTCTATCTCAAACTATTGTGCAAGAAAACTCCCATGCAGATGATGTCGCTATTTCACAAAATGTTTAAATCTTGGCAATCAAAGAAATCATTTGCTTGGATCAGCAACCATATTCATACTATATAAATATTTTGCAACCATTCTCATCATTTTCTAATTTTGTTAGTGAGTCAATACTAGAAAACAGCAAGGTGAGATGTCTGTGTTTTTGTTTTGATTATATCAATTCATTGGAGAAATGTTAATACTTGTAGGTTGTGTTTCCAAGCTTCGGTGAGCGATATCTCTCTACTGTTCTATTCCAGTCAATCAGGGAAGAGTGTGAGAAGATGCAACCTGACCCATGAAAAGCTCCTCTTTTGAAGCCACCAATAGTATAAGAAACACTGTTTTGTTGTTTTCTTTATCTTTCACCTGGTGTTATACCGTATAGGTTGATGTCTTTTCTCATGTTTGACTGTTTCTCTTTGAAAAGTTATCGTGTAACTGACATGGTGGCGAAGTTGGATATTTAAAGCGTGTTGCTGCCAGATTTGATAATAAAAATGTTTTTTTTTCCCCGATGGCAATTCTCTCATGGTTGAAGTGATTTGTGATTGCAGTGATTTTTTGATGGAAAACTGTATATGTTCAGCTGAATGTAGATCGACTGTTTTAACTTTTAAGCATGCGTTTTTGTCCAAAACTGTTAGAGATGATTTAAATATCATATCTTGATAAAATGTTACATCACTATCTGTTCTAGAATTTGAAGTTGTTAGAGACATAATAACTTATGTATTAACATTGCTACAAACAACTAAAGAAATGCGGGGATTAGATTTTGAGGAAGATGCATATCACAAGTTACCAGTAAATATGGATAAGTTATAACTTAATGAGGTCAAGTTACTTCCAAAAAAGGTTGGATCAATCGTAAATTATAAAAATTGATTTGAAACAATTTTATTTTGCTTAACTGTGCTAGATTGGAATGCAAATTCACTTTATTTTGTAACTTTTATGTTGTAGTAATTTTGGTATAGTTCTAAAAAGTAACTTTTTAGCACGGTATTCTCATCCAAAGGAATGGCTATGATATGCGTCATGCACAATGAAAAAAAGGACATGCTGTTACGTGCGCTTTTTGGGAGATATACAAAATAAACAAAATTAGAATTAGAGAAAAAGAGATCCCATTTTGAAGGGCAAGATCCTCTAGTGGTTCACTTCAAGATGAACCCGACATCCACATTCATTCATAATAAAGTCTTTAAGAGTGTGTTTAGGATGACTTATTAAATTCACAAGTACTTCTTAAATAATTATTTTTTAAAAAACACTTTATTAAAAATACTTTCTTCCATAATCATTGTTTGGATGCTCATTAAAAAAAGTACTTAAATAAAAATGATTTTACAAAACATTGTGTTTGAATGGTCAATTAAAAAAGTATTTATTTGTTTCACAATTACAAATATGCCATTCATAATCAAATATATATGTATGTATGTTTGCATGTATTTTGTTAAAAACGTCAATAGTTATCCCATGATACATTTTTAGTGATGATTTATCAAATATTTAAATAAGTTCACAAAAATAAAAAGGTAATTATAGAATACCAGTGATCTAAAGACATGATGAACCCAAGTGTAAACTTAGAGTTCACTTCTATGAATTTCTTCATCACCCATGTATAAGCTTCTACTCTTTGATGCATTTTTTTTTTCTTTTCGAACAAATCAACAGAAGAAAATTTTTTTTTTAAAGGGCAAATGATCCCCCTTTTTTTTTTTTAAAGAGAAATTTTATTTATTCACAAAACCACAATTACAAGAAGTAAAGAAAAGGCCAAAAGTACCTTTTCATAACAGAAACTACCAATCAAACACAGCAAAATTTAACACTAAAACAACAAATCCAGAAACAAGGCTTTCAAACACTCCTCCCATCTTCACAGCACTAAACTTCATCTCGTTTCAAACAAATCAACACTTAACATTCAGCCATACAAATCACCAAAACCTTCAACACTTAACCCTTGTCATTGAACACCATTACCTTCTTTTTACGCAACACAGGCAAACCTTGCTGATCAATGCACAAGGCTAAGCCAACCTCCCAAGGTAACCTCAAATCAACAGACTAGTCCACAGATCTCCTGTTCCGAACAGCATATCCAGCCAACTTATCAACAACATAATTCGCTTCTCTATAAACATGCACTAGGGCGAAATCCCAAACTGCTCAAAGTACCTTTAACTTGCCTTAGTATATCCAGACTGGACCTAGGGCATTCACAACGTCCCAAAACAGAGTTTACCAGATCAAAGAATCACATTCTATTTCAAGAGTATAACAAGACAAGGCATATAGTTTTCAAATTCATTCTCTACAACATATAGTTTTAAGTATGGTAAGGGTAATGGTTTAATCCTCGCTCAACCATTGATGGTTATTTTGGGGTTTGTTGGGTGTGTGGGGGTGGGTTTGGTGGTGGGGGGTGGGGGCTAACATTGCACAAAACTGGCCATATGTGCTGAAATAAAAGAGAACTAAACCAGAGAAAATATGTCGTCAGAGAAAATGTTCTAGTTACCCATATGCTGCCGGAAAGTTTGGGACCTCCGACCTTTTAACAAATAATTGCTTGATAAGATGGGTATTTTTCCTTTTCAATCTTTGTGAGTTGATGGATGTTTTCATTAACTCATATTTGTGGTGTTTGTTAATGGAATAATCTACAATAGAATGGATGCTGATAACAATGTGTGTGAGCATGGACAAGAATTTTTAGATCACAGTTGAACAATTTTTTCCGGGCGAGTAAAAATAACTAACCTGAAGTAAAAATTCCCAAAAAAATATGAGACATGGAGGTATTTGGAAATTTGGAATTTCCATATAAGTGATTAAAGAATGGAGCTCATTGAAGAAACCTTCTCACAAAGGGAATCCGAATCAATAAGGCAGGCAAACAACTATACTGCATGAGGACAAAATGTGATCGACAAAGGCACCAAGCATCGCCAAGATAATGCCAATTATGTCAGGCAAATGGTAGCTAATTGGAAAACACTAACCACAAAAGGAATTTGAACCCACAAGACAGGCAATCTGCTTAGAGAAGCAC